AGAGAGAGAGAGAGAGAGAGAGAGAGAGAGAGAGAAGTGGTGCGTACATCTCTGGTGCTGGTCTCGGCGAGTATCATACGCGCCTCCTGTATCATCTGCAGGAGTGTGGACACGGGCTGCGCCCGCAGTATAAACTCATGCTGCAGTAAAAGGCTGGCCGTCGACCTCTGCTCGGGATTCTTAACGAGACATTTCTGTACGAAATCGATGAACTCAGAGGACCAGCGGTCGGGATCGCGGAAAGAGGGCGGAGGTTTCGTCGGTATCATAAATATGGCACGCATTGGATGAATGTCACCGTACGGTGGCTTTCCCTCTGCCATCTCTAACGCTGTAATTCCTATACAACACAACCAAACCATAGACACAAACATTTGATTCAATAAATGTTGAAATGATTTGAATTGATTTAAAGCGTTAAGGGATTGGGAGACAAACCTAAGCTCCAAATGTCTGCGAGACAGTCGTAACCGATCTCTTGGATGACTTCGGGCGCCATCCAAAAGGGCGTTCCAATCACTGTATTTCGTTTGGCCATTGTGTCCGTCAACTGACCCGCAACTCCAAAATCGGCTGTTCATTACGTGTCAAATATAAACACAATTATAAACATATCATATGTTACATATGTATAATTAATTAAAAATTAGTTTTGATATAAAAGTCTGAATTATTGCCAAAATCAGAGGGCATTTAATACAACTGTTGAATCTATTTAAAGCGTAAATGAAATGAAATTCATTTTCAATTTCAAACTAGTGTAAACACATAAACACATTCTTAAAATCCGAGAGAGAGAGAGAGAGAGAGAGAGAGAGAGAGAGATACCTAGCTTTGCGTGGCCTTCGCTATTAAGTAATATATTTCCCGCTTTAATATCTCGATGTATTTTCCTCCTCTGGTGCAGGTATTCGAGGCCTAATAGTGTGTCCCTAAGTATGGTTGAGATCTCGTCTTCGGTGAGTGTCTTCTTCCGCATCCGCATAATGTCAGAGACAGAACCGCCGCCGCAGTACTCCATCACAATCCATAGGTCGGAACCTTTAATGAATTCAAATGTTGATGACTTTCGCTCTGTATGTAAACGAGTGAATCAGATATAGGGTTAGGGTTAGGGTTTGGGGTGGGAATGGTTGCAGAGTCGGGATCACAGCAGCCGTCACAGGCGTCCATCGATACCAATTAAACCGATTCATACAATACCATCGATTCAATCGCGTATTCAATGGATAGGAGAGTGAATGACAGACAGAGAGGGAGAAAGAGGAGGAATAGGGAGAGAGAAAAAGATATATTTTCCATGGATTTGATTGAAAAGTAGCAAAAAGTTTGTTGTTTTTAGCAACAAAAATAATTTAATTGATAGTCAAAAACAATATTAAAAATATGCGATGAAAAACATATAGACCTTTGAAATAACTTCCGTAGTATCGGACAACGTATGGACTGTCGCACTGTTGCATAATTGATATCTCTTTGATTATTTCGCCTGTAATTGCAAACAATATGTGTTAATAAAAACATTATTCAATTTAATTATCGCTTTTTGTTTGTTTGTAAACAGTTTCCGATTGAATGTTAAAATAATAAAGGGGTTTAAAAAGTATGTTATGTTTGATATAATTAAATCAAATGTGTGTTTGATTTATGTATTTTTCATTATACGGTAAGATTGATATATACATAGTGTGTGTGTTATATGTGTTCCACATATTTGACTTCAAAACCATAAGTCAATCACTTGTTTCAGTAAAGCTTTAGTCAAACAATTAGATTAACAAATGATTTGCTTGTTTTGAGTGTTTTTATGATTGATTTCATCTGTTTGTAAAGACTATAAATATTATTGCATTAAAAAAAACACATAAAAGCGATGATAATTCACACGACAGGAGTGGCGGTAGTATTAAGACATGTGAAGGCAATGATAAGAGCAGTTAATCTGAATATGAATTGTCACTGAAATATGTGTTTTAAGACTCAAAGACAAAATTGCGAATAAAAAATGCCATAAATTATCTAATTTTTGTGTTGATATGCATTCAATGTTAGGCATTAAGACTATTGTAAAACTTGAGGCAATCAATGGGTAAACATATGGTCGGATGCGTTGGACACAGACCTAAGTCACTCTCGACGGGCACCTGTTTGATGGCCAGCACTTGACCCGACTCTTTGTGTAGCGCTTTATATACGGATCCATAGGAGCCCTCGCCTGATGGACACAACCGTCGGATCAATTGGTGGATCACATGGAAAATGAAGAGACAATTAGTGGTCAAACTCATGGATCAATTGAATGGACACAAATCAATACCTAATTTACACAAAATGTCGAAAACCTCTTCCGGCTGTCGAGTCAACTGCTGTTCACTTAACTTCTCTAATATAGACATCACTTAACAATTGATCCGCTCTTTGATTATCAACTGATGAACACTTTGAGAGACAGTACTAAACAAACGGTTGATTTGATTTATCGGTGATTATTATAATTGTTATTATTATTCACTGATAATTGATTTGCAAATGAATTGACAGAAAATTTAAAAAAATCAAAACAAAAGTAAATATAAATAAAGTGTGAATTGAATTACAATCTCATTATTAAACACACATTTTAAATGTCAAATTCAAACCACAATTAAAACAAAATAGCATTGAATGAAACAATTAAGTGAATCATTGTTTACAATGTATTTAATGACAACATTTTGTTTATTGAAAACATAGACACAAAAAAATAGTTTCACAAAATCAACGATCGCTGCAAACGATTACATAAAACACAATATATTTAATAATAATAGTAATAAATATGCGATTAATATATGAATGAAATGATTATATCATTGAAACCAATGGTTATTATATAACGGCTTTAATAGCGTTAACGATATGTTATAATTGAATATAGCATTCAATGGGAAATCAATGGTTAATGTGTTTTGTGTGTTGTTTTCGGCACTCATTTGTTTGTCATGTTTTACACATTCATAGCATTCATATTAATCACAACATAGAGTGGGTATGCGTTGAGTACATTGAGTACAGTCTGCGTTAACATTTTGTTCACACTTTGCGTTGCGTCCGATGCTATGTTTTGAACAAGATTTTTGGTTCACATGTTATTTGCCTCTCTCTCTAATTCAATTAATTTTTACGATACTCTCTTCACTCTCTCTCCCGCTTTATTGTAATGTAAGTCAATATCATATAAATGTCAATCACTGTCTATAATGGGTACGAATTGTACGCCTGATAATACCAGCGATTGAGTCCGTTTTAATGCTATGCCATAAGTGTCTGTAAACCTGAAAAAAAACTTTTTTCTTTTTCGTATATAGACTTTCATTCAATTCGTTTCACGACTTTTGAATCTCTCTCTCTCTCTCTCTCTCTCTCTCTCTCTTCACTCTCTCTCCCGCTTTATTGTAATGTAAGTCAATATCATATAAATGTCAATCAACTAAACTAACGGTAAAATTAATGAGATTTTTGACATTTTTATCGCATTCGCTGCCAATCTCTCTCTCTCTCTCTCTCTCTCTCTCCCTTCTCGTCAGACAAGTCTTAAAACTTTTCAAAAAACACATTGAAATAACTCCCCAACGATTTGTTTGATAAGAAAGTATAGTTAATTTACATATACAGTATAGCACTCCCTATAGTGAACAACCAATTGTTAAATATGTACATCATATGCATTATTGCAATCAGAAAACAGTGATTTGAAGTATATTTAATGTTCAATGAGATTCTGGTAATAATTAGTATTTTACACACATTAGGGGGAAAATATAGCTTCATTAAAGTGTATACTATAGCGGGTTATTGAACAGCGTATTCAAAAAACGAGATGTGTCGTTTTGCAACGATTTACAACCCATGACTCATCGCTATTAATAGATCCGGGGCTTAAATAATTGGCGAAGAGATTTTGTTCAGACAATAGTTCACTGGTGTTTGAAATATTTCTGTTATACCAGACATACAATAGGGTTAAGACAATTAATTCTTCAATCAATGACAAACAGCTTTTGTATTAAATTTATATTGAGTTTTGATAGTCTTATTGATTGAAATTTTATGCTTTTTAGATATTATATAACTTAAGCGCTGATCAAACACTTGAATGTCAAGTATTTAAGTCAATACAAAAATTACTTGAAATGTTTGTCTTGAAATTAGCGGTAAAATAACGTGATTTTTTCCTATGAATTATGCTTTGAATTCACGTTTTGAAGTCAATTATAGGAAATTATAAGTATTTTCTAATATTTCTACTATTGCTTAACCTCTCGATTCAAAAGTTCGCTAAACTTTGTGTTAAATGTTTGATTCAAACAATTTTGTGAACCGATAGCACTGTTTTGTGTTGCCGTCATATTTTAGGTAATTTTTAAATATCCAAATCGTTTTTATATGAAATTTTATGCAAATTTTTATAAATTAATGCTTAAGAACCATATGTTTGGTGTAATAGTAATTAAATGGTGTATTAAGACTCATATGGACTCGTATAGCAAGAAATATTTCCATACACTCTATTTAACAATACTTTTATTATTCAATTTAATTGTCAATTGATTTACATTAAAAATACGGCATTTAATAGTAAACAAACATTTAGTGCATTTTCATCGACAATAAGGCATATGTAAGCCTTTATAAGCCACTAGTCTTTTGATATTCTCGCCTATAATTAGCGTATATTTTGTATCAATTGTTTTTCTCAAACAAAAAGAGTATTAAAAATTTTCTAAAAACAATTTATTAATTGATATTTTATTATATAATTTAATTAATTTTCCGGTATTTCTGGTTGTGATTAAAATAGCGATCAATAGATTACGCGAGGAATCCGTTTAATTATTATAATTTATATTAACAATCGGTTTATTGTAGTCTTTGATAATTGTCTTCACAACACGTGTCGGCACATCTCTAATCACATCCACTGTCACTCTCACCCTCTCTTCGCATCACATATTCATTAATAGTAATTATATTATTGTTATATAAAAAACAAAAATTTAAATTAAAAACAATAAATATATCATCAGTTTCTGGTCTCCGGAGCACAAAAAAAAACATTTCACTCAATGGTTGGCCACTAAAAAAATCACTCAAAAAATACGAGTCCAAAAATATAGAGTGAATTAAATAAACAAAAACATAAATTAAATTAAAAATAAACAATAATAACAAGGGTTGGGCTGACGTGTTGTCCGGTTAGTGGTCAGCGGCGGTCAATCGCACTCAAAGTGTCTCGACTCTGGGCGTGTGATTATTGGACACATCGCTGGTGAGCCGTTCGCTGAGCAATCGGTACGTCTGGTACTGATCGCCGGCGCTGGCGTCCGGACACACGCCCAGCCGTACGAACACACCGTAGAGGGCGTCGGCAAAGACGGCCACAATCGGGCGCAAGACGTTCGGGAAGAACGTGTGGAACGCGAAAGCGTCGGAAAAGTCGCCCCGAGTTTGGGTGCGGATGGAGGCGGTGGGCGACCGGCGCTGGTGTTCGTGCGGTTGTATGAATCGGAGATAAATCCACGACACGATCAGACCGTAGAAGAACATCACCACCGGTTCCCCTTCAATGAGGTTCAGCGCGTACAACACGAGCGCCACCACCAGCGACAGCAACGGTATGTCATCGTTCTTCAGTTTGCCAATCGCTGTCTGCAAGAGAACCGATTGCGACAGCATTTGCTTCACCGTAACGGCCATTGAGGCGCAAAACGGCGACAGACCGTGGATTCGGGTGGCGAACAGTTGGGACGCGTCGGTTGTGATCGCGTAGATCAGGATATAGTGAAGGCATGAGAGGAACGCCGACGCGATCGCTACCAACCAGAAGAATAGGATCACCTAATCATATGATACACAAAGACAACGATATCATCAGTATTGGTATGTCATGAGTGGTATGTCTATCATTAGTGAGTGACATGTGGTGTGAATTTACCTCTTTTGGTCCCCAAAGGGGTTCTATAAGAGTGGCCAAAAGGGATAGCGATATCATATCAATGATAATCATATAAAAGTGTAATTCAATGAACGGATGGGTGAAGAGTGAGAGCAATACGCGATACCATTGGCCGACACTCAACACGGAGTCGGGCGATAGTATGAGCCAATCGACCACAGAATCGCCCGACAATTGGATCAAATATAACAGTATCATCAAAATGGACACCATTTGCACCGTTGGCGACAGTTTAGTGATCAAAATGCCGATCTGTGAGCAAAAGTAGCGCCCGTTTCGCAACACAATTGTCCACATTTTACG